CCTCAATTTATTGTTGTTTTTCTATTATTACTTTGGTTATTTTTATGGGTGGTTGCATGTGAATAACACATGGTTTGCCATGAACAAACAAGTCAAGCCTTCTTAATCACACAGAGAGAATTTCTTTTGGTAATTCTCACTGTCTATAAGACTTCAATTTATTATTATGTTTAATATTAGTTAGAGACTTCAGGCAAAATGCAGTTTCTGTAGTGCAAGACTTCATTCATATATAGAATTCCACCCCAAACAGTTTACAATCTAAATGGCCAAGAAAGACACAGTGAGAGAAAAGAAATAATCAACCCATTTTACAGAAAAGGAATAGAGACACAAAGAGATCAAGTAACTTATTCAAGATCACACACAAAGTATATGTCACAATTACAAACTGAATGTTGATCTTTTAAATCACAGTAAAGTTCCTTAACCACATCATCCTCAGTAGCCTGATAAAGTAGTTGATGAACTTGACATTATTCGGTTCCCTATATAACAGATCATACAGTAACCCTAGACCAGGATCCACAGTTAATGCTTGAGAGGAGTGGTAGATCCAGAGGGGATGCAGCAGCACATTAGTCCTCCCCTTTGACTGATTTCACAGAGCCCAGGGGCTGCATCCCACTGCGCATCCCCTCCTTTCCCCTGCTACTGAATTTGGGGGGACGGGGGAGAGAACAGACATCATTAGGCTCCAGAGCTAAAAACAGGGATGCTGAGCAGACCTCACACTGGTGATCTCATAGAGCTCACAGCATAAGCAAAGCTCCAGCAGGAGCTGCGCTAACATGTGGTGAGCTCTGAGAGTTCACTGACATCCAGGATCACAGCAAGGGGCTGCAACCACACCGCCTTTGGCCACATGGCCCATGTACAATGAGCTCATGTAACTGTACATATGCCACATAGTCAAAGGCGATGTAGCCGCATCCTCAACACCACGATCCTTAATCTACCTGTGCTTGAGAGGGAGGAGAAAAGTCCCTCATGAGCCTGTTCTGTTTTTTGCATGTAGACTAGTGAGCAGAAAAGGAATTTCTTTTAAGGACATGGACAAATGACAATTTACAATGGATTAAAAGGAAGCAGAGTTTTATAGCAGAGCAGCTACTTTGCAGCTACTGTCCATGAACCTGCTCTGATCCCATGGTAAAGTGCAGTATCTTATAATAACCCCAGTTTAGCTCCCACTTACTTTAGGCTAAGAGGGGGCACAAAGAGTTCCCACAGAGCAGTGGGCACACCTGCTTCCTTATAATTCACCATTCCTTGTTTGTCCATAACCCTAGCCAAAATGAAAAATGTGGAACATTTAGAATGAAGCAAAGCAAGAATGTATTGAAAAGGATCTTGATATAATAGTGGTCTTCTGTCCATAAATGTCTAGAAGATTTTAAGGACAAATTTAAAAGCCAACATAGCACTAGAATATAAATGTAAGGAAGTAGTAATGAAATCTCTGGCAAGACTTCACTTATATTGTGTTCAGGCCTGCTTACCACATCATAAAAAATGAGTTCTCAAAAATGTGGAGAGGGAAGGAGAGTTGATCCTAGTAATAAAAGCTATGAGCTGTAAGGACAGGCCAAAACTCTATATAGTTTTAAAACAAATCACTGAGGCAAATTATTGATACATAAGGTATGAGGCAGTACAGATGAGTTCCCACCAGAGTATTATTTTCAGAAAAATGCAATAATTGGACATTTGAAATAAAAGAAAAATAATTTTAAATCAATGGGGCAAAACTAAGGTTAAAAGTGCCAAATATATATAAAGTAAAAGGAAAGTCTATATGAAGGAAAATTTACTGTTAAAATGATGTTTTACATCATTCCCACAATACTAACTCAACCTGACTAACGCCTACCTTAAATATAGGGTGGCCATTGGTCCTGTTTTATACCATACCATCCTGTTTTTAAATCCGTTGTTCCCTATCTGTTTCTAAATGAGAAGCAGACTGCAAAAAGTCCTGTCTTTTAGTTCATTGGTGGATATACGTGTCAATCATTTGTCCTCATCATTATATTGGCTGTACCTAGAGTTAGGGCAGTGCACAACCAGGAGGAACAGGGCTCCAAGCCAGCCATGGATGGAAGGATGGAGGGAGGTGGCCTTTTTGTGGTGGCCCTGCTCCTTGCTGCTGATTGGCTGGGGAGGTGGCAGCCATGCCCCTCACTGCTAATTAGCCAAGGAGGCTTGTGGTCCCCCTCCCCCGCCCCACCAAGGTTATGTCCTGCATTCTGGGGATTTGTCAGTAGCTACCCTACTTAAACAGGAGACATATATTTAAGAAAACAACTGCAAACTTGAGAAGAAAACCTCCAAATTACAAACTGGAAGATGCAAACACTCATCCAGAGACCTCGAGTGTCAGTTTTGTCTCCTTTGAAAGCCATATCTCAAATTGAACACTAAGTCACATGGAAACATCAAGTGACTGAATAATGTATTGCTAATAAATGTGTCATTATAGGGTATGTGTGGACAAAATGGGGGCCCTAAATTAAAGCGTTGGGTTTTAGAAAACACCACTTCAATTTAGGGATGATTAAGCCCCCATGTCGTGCACGCCCCCCACTGACTT